CAAAGGGTAAAGTGTGGGTTGTGGGAAAGATTAAAAGGTTTTTCATGTTTTAATTACCGTGGATACAGAATTATAGCCAATGATTACCGAGCCAGGCACCAGACTTTTTTTTCTTTTTCTGTTTTAATCGGATGACTTAAAAAGTTTTAGGTAAACTTTTTGCTTATGGAAGCGAGGGATTATTGGCCTTGACTTAAGCATGTATAGTACAAACTGGCACGCCAGCTGCCCCGTCCCCTCAAGCCCGCCTTCTCAGTCACGTTATCATTGCTGGAGCCCTGGGCAGCCAGCCTTTCTGATACTGCAAATGCTTTTCCGGAGTAGTGATAGCTGACGTTGCACTGTTTTTGTTACATTGACTAAAACAAACCCAAACAATTCATACATGATTTGAGGTCTTCTGTAGGTGTCCCGGTATCAACAGCTCTTGGCACTACGTAAACTACTCCAAGGCTCTGTGTTCCCTGGATCTTCTCACAGCAATGCCACACAGCGGAGGATGTTGCCTCCTCCCAGTCATAGAGAGGGGCCGTACCCACCATCCACAGCTGACACTCCGCCTGCTCTCCATCGAAGTAGTCTGCTGGCATGCAAGACACTTGGCAGGTTACTGCAGGAGACATTTGCATGTCAAGTGAATGTATCTCAAGTCAATGTTGGGGTTGAAACATTCCTTATCCTTGTTGCACAGAAAGCGTGGCTTGAGACTTGTTTTTTCCAAACATTTTGGATGGGTGGATGGAGGGGTGGGAGGGAGGGAAGGAGAAGGTATGTGGCAGCAAGTGAGTCCTAGCATCAACTGGGAGGCTGTCAAAGGATCTGCTGGCCCTGAAGGCAAAGGTTTTTATGCAAGAGCTTCAGTAGGGCGAGATTGTCTGGAAATGCTGCAATGGATTTACAGCATGTTAGTGACCTTTCTGGTGCTGTACGCTGTCGGTAGGCCTGACAGCTGGGGCTGTTGTGTTCTTGCTCTTTGTCACTTTACCTCTTGTGCGCTCATGTCAACAACCAAAGCAGCTTGCTTCATCCTCAAGTTGAACGATTTCACAGACATTTCTTAAGTTGCCCTGAGCATCTCTAATGAAAAAAAATTACCTTCCAAGTTCAGTGGAATTTAATGCTTAATAAATGTTCAGAAAATGCATTTTCTAAGCATTTCCTTATGCTTCAATACATTTTTATTTTAGTTCTAAATAATGCCTGTAATTTTTGTGCTAAGCATGCTGCTGAACATCAGAGGCAATTCTGAGGGACTAGGTAAGATCAACAGCCAGAAGAATCACAGAATGGTCAGG